TATGGAAGCAGGAAGATAGGAAGTTTACTCTGAAATGTTAAATTGAGGTGACTAGTGAATGTCCACATGGAAATTGTACTGACAAAAGAAGAGCTCGTGGATGAAGCCTGGGCTAGAGATCTACAATCGTAAAGGCATTCAAAGTCCCGGGACGGCATGAGCTCACCAGACTAGAGAGGGTAAATGCAGAAGAGTCCACTACTGCATCACTGCAGTGTATATAGCTCATGAGAACAAGAGGACGTGAGGGAGAAGGAGAGGGGAGACCAGTGAGGAAAGAGGAGAACCAGAAGAGAATGGTGTCTTGGAAGCTAAATAATGTATTTCAAGAAGGAAAGAAAAACTGAATCAAATGCTGCTCATAGGGCAAGTATGAAGGTGGACTCTTGACCAATGGTTTCGGCAGCATGGGGTTACTAGTGACCTACACAAGGGACTGATTGGAGTGGATTCGAGAAAGAACAAGGATGGGAAGAGGGGAATTGGAGGCATCTAATATAGTAAATCTTTTGAAGTGTTTTGCTATAAAGGGGAGAATTAATGGATTAGCTAGAGATGGATGTGGCATCAAGAAAGTTTTTTTGGTTAGAGATGGGAAATATGGCAGCTTATTTATTTGCAGGTGGGAATGATTTAGTGATGTGGGGAAATTGATAAAGAAAAGAGAGAGAGGACAATTGCTGAAACTATTCTTGCAAAGGCAAGAGGGGCTAGGAAGTGGTATACAGTGGAGAGTTTACTCTTAGGTAAGATTGAAGAAAATACATACAGTAAGGAGATGGACCACGTGTGGAAAATTCACTGTATCTGAGTCATGCTTGGATAATTAGTGAGCACAATTTGGCTTTACAGTGGCCCCAGCCCTCTGTGCTTGTGAAACTTATGGCCACAAAACCTTTACATACCTATTGATGTGGCCCTTCAGCCATCTCAGCTGACAATTGAATAGTTACATATATTGAAATTATGCGTGGGCATTATTTTAATGACTAGCTAGCTTACGTTTAAGTTAAGTAGCTAATCCTTACTGATTTCTTTGTACAATCTCATTTAATCATTTCACCAAACCTATAAAGTTGGAGCTATTATTACTAACCTTCAGTTAACAAATGAGGAAACTGAGTTAAGGAAAAATAAAGAACTTGTTCAGGTTCATATGTTAACTTGCTGCTTTTTGACACTGTAGTTCATTCCTTAACTATAGGCTATATTGCTTTGCAGAAATATTTGGGCCTGTGAAATGTCTCATTTCTGAATGCAGCAAAGTAACATTGGATGTGATTTAGTTTTCCTATGTGATTTTACTGAGATTAAATACTTTTGATATCTTTGAGCTTTACCCACCACTCTTTTTTTTTTTCCTCCCAAAGACCAAGAACTTAAGAGCCTTTTACTGAAATGTTTGAAGCTACACTAGAGGAAAATTTGGTTGACTGGCTGTGGGTAGTCAGAGCGTAATCATTCTTGTGGTAGTTTTCTTTTATATGTCAGATTTTAAATTAGAAGTTGACAGTAAGATGAAGTGAGTAAGAGCATAGGAGCGTGATCTTCAGCTTCAAAATGATCAGAATTGAAATTTTCCTTTGGTTCCTCGCCGGCTAGTGACAGGCCGTCTAGGATAATAACACCTACCTACTGGGAGCGTTGTGAGAATTAGAGATGATATATTCTCGAGCACAAAGGGCAGTCCAGTGTCTATTTTGATAATAAATGGCAGATGACTGAGTAGCTACTGTGTCAGTTCATCAATTTACCATCAGGGGAAGATAGCCTGAGAGGTTACTAAGTGCATCTTATCCCTTGATTACCTTAATTTCCACCTGGAAATGGACTCACTCAGAGTTTAATTTCAGAAATGTTTCTTATGTGCACATTTTAGCAATGATTTGCTATTTAGCATTCGAGATGACAAAGCTCTATAGCAATACACCATCTTTATTTTGAATAAAATTTTAGAACGTGCTACCTGACAGGGAACATGGGACTGTCCCAGGGAATCTGGAATGTATGGTTTACTGTCAGCGTGAGGCTCTGGGTATCCTGCTGGGTGAGGAGGAGCCTCCCTACATTCTTCTTAGATTTTCTAGTTCTCCAGTCACTTAATCCAGGCATCAGTGTATTGCCTAGACTTTGGTTGTGTGAATGCCCTTCAGTGGAGATGGGAAATCCATACATTAAAATAAAGCATTACTTTCTCCTTCCCATGGAACAGTAAATAGATGGTTAGAGAAAGAGTTATAACTGGGATTATTGGTGCAGCCAGATGCTCAAGGGCCTTGGATAGTAAGTCTGAGTGTGGAGCAGCCTAGAAAAAGCAAAGGTTCTCTAGTTACCTGCATTACCACCTTAACACTCACCAAATACATTCTACTGACAAGAGACCCTGGCAAGTACAAAATCAGCTATTAGAGTACATTGGGAATGCCAGGTTGAATGGGGAGTTCATATCCTCAAGGAATTAATTGGGGGTAAGCTTTGTCAGTCCACATCCAAGATCTGAATTCATCGTTCACTATGGGAGCTTTCCCCTCCATCACTCCACTCCTGTGACACTTAAGTTCGTTCCCTAAAATTTCAACTTCTTTCCCTAAACCAGAACTTACAAAAGTGTTCACCAGAGATTTGGTTGTAGGGAGACCAACCTCTGTGTCTGTGCTTACAGTACTACCTAGTATTGGGCCTTGGCTATGACAGGGAACACCTACAGTACAGGGATTATGCTGCCGTGGCAAAGTTATGCTCCAGTGTTGGAGCTGGGCTTCACTTTTTTCTGTGATAGGACAGTCCTTACTCCTCTGCCTAGTAAATATTTACAACCAGGTTACTTACTCTGTGCATTTTTAGAGAGATATTTTGTTTAAATCCATTGGTCATTATAAGTGGCATAATGATTACAAACATGCACTCGAGAAATTTCCAAGTTGCAAAATGACTTCATTTGTCTTCTGGTTCTTTATACATTGTTTGAAGTTTGTATTTGAAAATCAGAAAAAATAATGCAAACTGTCGGGGTTCTTGTCCCAGCATCAAGAAGGGTTCAGGAATCTGGAAAAGGCTATGCGTAGATTACATAGGAATCCGGAGACTAATAAAGAGTCCGGAGACGAGATATAATTTTGAAAGGCATTGTGGGTCAGAGGAGCTTCAGCTAAAGGAACTGAAGACTCCCTCCTTGTCTAGGACCCTTGCTTTTATTAACACAATTTGTCCTAAGGCAAGGTGGAGATAATACACTTCAAAGGGTAAGGTTTCAAAGGGTACAGAAGCATTGTCAGAATGGGGGAATTAGCCTATGGCTGTTCAGGTGTTTGGCCAGTAGGAGGCAATAACATGTAGATTAAGATGCCCTTTAACTGTCTGGCAGCCACAATCAGTGTCCTATTCAGGTTTGGGGAAATGCCTTTCGCCATGACTACATGTGTGACTCAACCCTGTTGAGTCCCAAGTCTCATCAACCTTTCGATGAAACTCTTGAAATTATGACATGCTGGAATTGGTAGCCGGCAGCAAACATAGTGATTCTATAAGGATACTTAAGAGCATAGATTGTAGGTTCATTTAAGGGTCTCAAACTCTATTGAATGACATACACGCATTTCCTATAAGTGAACAGTATTTGTGAATCATGTAATTTTCTAAGGTACTTTAACCCACTACAGGACTAGTCTTAGGTTAGAATTCTGAAGGTGGGGAACTCTTTATGTTCTCAAATTTCCCTTTCCGCGCTTTCTCTTTTCATTCTGTTTTTTTTTTCTTTAGTATTTTTAAAAAAATATATTTTTATTGATTTCAGAGAGGAAGGGATACAAACATCAATGATGAGAGAGAATACTTGATTGGCTGCCTTCACGTCCCCTACTGGGGATCAAGCCCAGAACCTGGGCATATGCCCTGACCAAGAATCTAACCTTGACCTCCTTTTTCATAGGTCACATAGGTCAATGTTCAACCACTGAGCCATACTGGCTGGGCCTCATTTTTCATTGTTGCCCCCTCATTTCCTTCAGAATCCACTGTCTTCTGCCTTCAAAGCCATTTCTATAAAGGGATAAATTGTTCATTCACTGTGTTATCTTTCCCAAGGATGCTTGCATTTTAGCAGACATAATATTCACATTGGTTAAACTAGGGGAATTAAGTTCTAATTTTGAAATTATGTTTAACATGTAAGTGGCCACCCATGTTGTCAGGTGGACCCCAAATACACTTTCATACTCAAGTGTCTGTCCCATGTAAGGAATACTGTGCAAAATGACAATGCCATTTGCTCTTGACTAACTAATATCTGCATATTCAACTTATAGATCATTATTTCTTCTTTTTTACCTATTTCCTCATTTCCTGAAAATGTTCTGTGATTTATGGGACATGACATGATGTTGTAGAATGACGATATGGGCTTTGGAGAAGCAGTTGGATCCATATCTGAGTAGTTATTTGACTTGGACATATACCCCGAATCTCAGTTTCCTCATCTGTGAAGTATGATTGTTTGAGTTGTTATGATGGAAGAAATGTGTATGTACTACAGTGTATAAATTACATGTCGTGGTATATGCAAGTAGCTATTGTAACTAGTATAAATTCTATTCTTATAGGAAAAAAATATTAAAATAAAAAAATTTCTACATAACAGAAACTTTGCTAAAAGTTTGTAGCAGGTGTCAGTTAAGCAAAAATAACTGGGAATGTGTCTTGATTATAAGCAAGCCAGGTATAGTTAATGGAGACTTACGTTCATCTTCTTAAATATATAAATGAGATGCATATTTGCAGTATAATAAACTTTTTTAAAAATAAAAAAAAATTGTTGAACCCAGAGTTACCTAGGGGCATTTGAGAAATAATTTGAGTTATCAAAACGTAATACGTATGAGATGATTCAGAAATATACTCATTATGCGTGAGAGTGCAGTCTTGTGAGTTGGGCACTTTATGTCTATGTTATGTCCTCCTGTGTTGTTGCACAGGGTCCTACCATTGTATTTCTCACTCCACAGATTCACCAATAAAGAGACACAAAGAGTATGAGCTGGTGACTCCAGTCAGCACAAATCTAGAAGGACACTATCTCTCTCATATTCTTTCTGCAAATCACAAAAAGAGGTCAACAAGGGACGTGTCTCCCAACTCTGAGCAATTGTTCTTTAATATCACGGCATTTGGAAGAGATTTTCATCTGCGACTAAAACCCAACACTCAGCTCATAGCTCCTGGGGCTGTTGTGGAATGGCAAGAAACATCTCCGGTGCCTGGGAATATAACCGACCCTGTTAATGATCGTCAACCAGGAAGTGCTTCCGAAAGAATCTGGAAAACGGAGCCTTTGCAGACCAACTGTGCTTACGTTGGTGACATCATGGACATTCCGGGAACCTCTGTTGCCATTAGCAACTGTGATGGTCTGGTAAGACTCATTCCCTCTTGTGTGTGTATGTTTGTAGGTGTTTGGGAGTGTACCATGGCTCCAGCATGGTTTGGAAGGTAGAGGTGGAAAGGAAGCCTCATTATAATACTTTAAATTCAGGAGGAAGCAGTAGAACACATTTTACTGTCAAAGATGTGTGCTTTGGCTCAATTTTGACATGAAGACATTATTCCAAGAAACAAAAGACAGCTATTTTAATATTTTTTGCTTATGTCTTCACTTGTGTTACATTGGGGAATTTTATTTCCTTATTTCTTTCAAAGCATTCTGAAAACTTTCTAAAGAAACATAGATTCCTCCAAAATGATAGTATTACACTTCTTATGTGGAAACTTTGGATATTTTCTTAAAGAAAGTATTTTGAAAGCATTTTTTCACTTCCCCACAGAATGCTAAAATGGGAAATGAGCAGATCTTAATGTCACAATTTGTTCAAATAGCATTTTATGAACACAAGATGTAGTTGTTTCTGTATGGTAGCTTTGATTCATTTTTTCCTTTATCTTGAAGTAAAATACCCATATATTGCTCTTTAGTTTTATGGTTGAATCCAATAGTAACTGACCCTTCTTTGTACACTCTGCAGATGTGAAATATTTTTACTTGTGTTGTATCTCCAGTTGTTATTTGAAAAGAGTGTCAATGTTTATGCCTTTTCTATCCACAGTTGACTTCAAGTCTTTGTTTAAAAAAGAGCAACCATTTTTCTTTCTATGGTTGCCAGGCTGCTGTTTCTTGGGAGTTCAGAGCTATTCCCTTTGTTTTGCCACTGCTTCTAAGAGTTCTCAAAATATTCCTTACATTCCTGCTTATAATTATTCTACCTTGGTCCTCCACCAGTACCATGAATACTGTGCAATATCCTCTCTATGCCAAAGATCCACCCAAAGGATTTAGGATACCATGTTTTATCAAATTTTGGTGAGTTCATTGTTTTAGGCTTTAATTTTCAGTCTTATACTACCTCATGATGTTCTGTAGAATTTTTAAAGCATGCAAGAACTGAATAGAATATGTGTGGCAGGTCTAACTCTCCAAGTTGGATCCCATTAGTTTAGGATCCATACCCTTATATTTGGGGTTGGACCATGTTCTGGGGTTTAAAGACATGAGGAATCTTTCAAATTCTTCTTATTCTTCATGAAGGCTGAATAGACCTGAATTAGCTAAGTCATTGAAGTTTAAAGTACTCACAGAGAGAGATTGAATTAGTACTGCTAAGCTGTAAAATGGAAATAAGTTTTATAAAAGGTATTTTATAATAGTTATAACTAAATTATATTGAGTATAAAATTCAGCATTTAAAAATTTTTACCTAATTTATTTTATTGATTTAGTTAGTTATTTTGTTTTTTATTTATTGTTGATAGTATTACAGTTGTCCCTCACTTACCTCCACTTTGCCCCCCTACACCCAGCCCCCACCCCACCCCAGGCCTTCCCCACACTATTGTCTGTGTCCATGGACTATGCATATGTGCATATATGTTCTTTGGTTAATCTCTTCCCATCCCCTCCTGCTCCCAGCCCTCTGAGATCTCTCAGTTTTTTCCATGCATCCATGCCTCTGGACCTATTTTGTTTGTCAGTTTATTTTGTTCATTAGATTCCACATATAAGTGAGATCATGTGATATTTGTTTTTCTCTAACTGGCTTATTTCCCTTAGCATAAAACACTCTTTTTTTTTTTTTTACACCCACACAGTATTCCATGGTGAAAATATACCACAGCTTTTTTATCTACTCATTTATAGATGGGTACTTGGGCTGTTTCTAGATCTTAGCTATTGTAAATAATGCTCTATGAACATAGGGGTACATATAGTCTTTCTAATTGGTGTTTTGAGATTTTTAGGATATATTCCCAGAAGAGGGAATGCTGGATCATAAGGCAATTCCATTTTAATTTTTTGAAGAAACTCCATATTGTCCACAGTGACTGCACCAGTCTGCATTCTCAACAGCAGTGTACTAGAGTTCCCTTTTCTCCACATCCTTATCAGCACTTGTTGTTTGTTGATTTATTGATGGCAACCATTCTGGCAGGTGTGAGGTGACACTTCCACGTAACTTTAATTTGCATCTCTCTGATGATTAGTGATGTTGAACATTTTTTCATATGTCTGTTGGCCATCTGTCTGTCTTCTTTGGTCATTTTTAAATGCGATTGTTTGTCTTCCTGGTGTTGAGTTGTATGACTTCTTTGTATATTTTGGAAATTAATTCCTTATCTGATATACCATTGGTGAATGTGTTCTCCCATCCAGTGGGTTCCCTTTTCATTTTGTTGGTGGCTTTTTTGTTGTGCAGGTGCTTTTTAGTTTGATGTAGTCCCATTTTTTTTCTTTTCTTTGTTTTTCTTTCCCTAGGAGATGTATTGGTGAAAATATTGCTATGTGACATGTTTCGAGACTTTTATAGTTTTACAACTTACATTTAAGTCTTTTTTTCCATTTTGAGTTTATTTTTGTGTATGGTGTAAGTTTGTGGTCTAGTTTCTTTTTTTTGCATGTACCTGTCCAATTTTCCCAGCACCATTTATTGATGAGACTACCGTACTCTATTGTATGCTCTTGCCTCCTTTGTCAAATATTAATTGACCATATTGGCATGGGTCGATTTCTGGGTTCTCTGTTCTGTTCCATTGGTCTATATGCCTGTTCTTCTGCCAGTACCAGCTATTTTGATTTAAATGGCTTTATATTATAGTTTGATATCTGGTATTGTGATCCCTCCAACTTTGCTCTTCTTTCTCAAGATTGCTGTGGCTATTTGGGGTCTTTTTTGGTTCCATCTAAATTTTTGGAATGTTCTATATCTGTGAAATATGCCATTGGTATTTTAATAGGGATTGCTTTGGGTAGTATGGACATTTGAATGATGTTAATTCTTCCAATCCATGAACACGGTATATGCTTCCACTTGTTTGTATCTTTCTCTCTTTCCTTTTTCAATGGCCTATGGTTTTCCTTGGTTAAGTTTATTCCCAGATATATTATTTTTTGTTGTTGTTGCAATGGTCATTGGGATTATTAGTTTAGTTTCTCTTTCTGAGAGTTCATTATTGGTGTATAAAAATGCCATCGATTTCTGGATGATAATTTTGTATCCTTTGCCAAAGTCATTTATTAAATCTAGAAGTTTTTTTGTGGAGTATTTAGGGTTTTCTGTGTACAATATCATGTCATTTGTGAATAATGGCAGTTTTACTTCTTTCTTTCCAATTTTGATGCCTTTTATTTTTTCTTCTTGCCTGATCACTGTGGCTAGGATTTCCAGTACTATGTTGAATGAGAGTGTGAAGGCGGACATTCCTGTTGTGTTCCTTATCTTAAGGGAAACACTTTTAGTTTTTGCCCATTGAGTATGATGTTGGTTGTAAGTTTGTATGTTGAGGTATAGTCTCTCTATTTCCTCTTTGCTGAGAGTTTTTATCATAAACAGGTGCTGTATTTTGTTGAATGCTTTTTCTGCATCTATTGATATGATCATGTGATTTTTAGCCTTCATTTTATTTATGTGATGAATTACATTTATTGATTTGTGAATACTGTACCAGCTTTGCATCTCTGGAATAAATCTCACTTGATCATGGTGTATGATCTTCTTAATGTGTTGCTGGATCCGAATATTTTTTTGAGGATTTTAGCACCTATGTTCTTTGGAGATATTGCCCTGTAATTTTTTTATTTTGTAGTGTCTTTATCTGGTTTTGGAATTAGGATAATACCAGCCTCATAAAAAGGGCTTGGAAGTCTTTCTTCCTCTTGAATTTTTTGAAATAGTTTGAGGAGGATAGGTGTTAATTCCTCTTTGAATGTTTGTGACAAGATAAGTGTAGAAAGTGAGACAATATATAGAAACTTTTATAGCAATTTGGCAGTTATTATATTTGTGTTGGTTCTAATAAAAAATGTGGCTGAAGTTTTGTGTCTTGTTTATTTTACTTTATTTTTTCTAGTAATTAGTTTTTATTGTATTTACAAAATTATTAGTATGAGACCAAGTGGGGAGAAAAGAAACTGTTTCTTCACCACAGATAGTTCGAAAAGCAAGCAGTGACCTGTTTTCACCCCTCTGGACATCCTAAACTTGACATCCCAAAATAGGTAGTTTCCCTATTCCAGGTAACTGCAAAACGATCACAGGAAAGGTACTTTAACATTGAAGAGGGCACAGAAATTATTTGAGTAATATATCCAGAGCCATGGTCTAGAACAGGGGTGGGGAACATCCGGCCTTCAGGCCATATAAGGCCCATGAAATCATTTGGTCTGGCCCTGCCAAGGCATTAGGGGTGAGTTAGTTAAATGTTTGATCAAATATAGCAGGCTAATTTTTGTTTGTAAGTTAGTATGGCCAACAAATGTTTGATCAAATATAGCAGGCTAATTTTTAAGTTTATAAGTTAGTATGGCCAACGAATAATGTTATAAATATCCAAATAGCCTTTGGCAGAAAAAATGTTCCCCATCCCTGATCTAGACTGTGATCTAGACATGCTTACTAACTAAAATATGATTCTTTCGATTTCTGAAATCAACATCAAAGTCTTCTGCACAAAGAATCAACAACGATTCTCACCTAGTGTGACCAAGAACAATGTCTGTTCCTGTCTAGCATGACTTTTTCTAGTCTTTGCCAATATTACCATTTATGAGTGACTGCTAATTCTTTACCAGTTACAACTTTATTCCTGCTCTTGTGTATCCCACTTATAGGTAAGAATTATTGAGATACTCAGTCATGGACTTGTCCCTGCTTTCTGACAGCATCCAATCTAGAACAAAGCCCTGCTCTTCTGGACTCTTCCCCGAATCACCCAACCAAAGCTTACATCCTGTTAAGAGGCTTTTTTTTTCTGACACTTTTTATTACTGAGATGTTAATGGTTCCCTCTGGTGTGCATTCTCCCTCCATGCAATTTGTAATAAACCCCGCTTGTCAACTGCAGTTGAGCTCCTGGTGGTTTTTGGCTGGAGGGGTTGACATGCTTTATCTCTCTGCTTCTACATCTTTGAAGTGAGTGTCCAGTGGTCAACAGTCATGGTGATGGCAG